GAATCAATTTTACTTGGATTTACATTTGTATGCTCTTTCATCATTTCATTTATTTCAATTCTTGTATTGACTCCGATCAGTCTTTGCCGCTCTGTTTGAACAAAAAGTCTTTTCTCTATCACCATAAATGGATACTGAAATTTGCATCCTATTTGACTCCTACAAACAGATTTATTGTCAAACACTCTTTGTTTTTGAAGAAATCAGGTTGCAGTCGCTTACTGAGTCAATACATGCATGAGATTATCTATCATCCCCATATCTACATCTGTTTCTAGGCCCATCTGCCTCATTTATAGTTTTGCTGTCAACTCTTTTTCTCTCTTCGTTCCTAGATCTAGAGAACATCTTTGTCCCAACATCCTGTTCAGTTACCACCCCACCAACCCAGCTCTCTCTCCATGTTTGTATAAGAGTCCCTCATGGATACATTGTCACTATCATTTGCACATTTTCATGTTCTTCCCTGTATTTCCTTCATTCTCTGTCTCCTATTTTGATTCTGTCTGTGTCCCTCTTTCATTCTATCTCTCTCCTTGCTTTAAAAAAAAAATACTATTATGAAATTGAAGAGGGCACAGGGTTTTGAATGGGTCCCAGATATATTTCTTGCCTCCCCTCATCACATTTATCATCTCATCTAGTCATGTTCTACACACACACACACACACACACTCTCTCTCTCTCTCTCTCTCTCTCTTATTTATTTATTTCTCTCTATCCAGCCTACACTTTTTCTTTGTACATTACTCTCCTCCTCCCTCATCATATTTATCATCTGGTCACGCTCTACTTTCTTTCTCTCTCACTCTCTCTCTCTCTCTGTCATCTTTTTCGTCTTCTTTTTTCTTCTTTATTCATTTGTTTCTCCTTCTGTATGTCCCATCTCTCTCTCTATCTTTCTCTCTCTCTTTCTCTCTCTCTCTCCCTCTCTCTCCCTCTCTCTCTCTCTCTCTCTCTCTCTCTCTCTATCCAGCCTACATACACTTTCCTTTTGTACATTACTCTTCTCCTCCCTCATCACATTTATCATAGAGTCATGCTCTACTTTCTTGCTCTCTCTCTCTCTCTCTTTCTATCTTTCTTCTTCTTCTTCTCCTGCGTCTTCTGTATGTCCCATCTCTCTCTCTCTCTCTCTCTCTCTCTCTCTCTCTCTCTCTATCCAGCCTTCACTACCACGCTCTCCTCTCCCTCATTTATCATCTGGTCATGCTCTACTTTCATTCATTCTCTCTCTCTCTCTCTCTCTCTCTCTCTCTCTATCTATCTCACGCTCTCTCTCTCTTTCTCTAGCTCTCTTCTTCTTATTCTGCTTCTCCTGCTTCTCTTTCTGTATGTCCCATTTCTCTCTATCCAGCCTACATGCTCTCCTCTCTCTCTCTCTCATCACATTTATCATCTGGTCATGCTCTACTTACTAGCCCGCTCTGCCCGCTCTGCCTGCCCTGCCCTGCCCCCACCTCATCATGATTGCTGACAACCTTTCATAAATCTTCAACCAACTAATGATTATGATCCACTTTAAAGGCTGCGCTATGGTTGTATCATGTATTCTCATTGACATGAAATTTCGTCCATGAATCAAAGACATATATGAGATGCTAGATATTAGAAGATAAAGCTCTGTCCAGATGTTTATGTTCCTGGACCGCTGTGAAATTGAATGTAGGCCTACAGTTTCCTTCTGACAATTTAGAAAGTCCCCTTTCATGAAAGTAACAATGTTTTTTTTAATGAAACAGAACCAATTCGGAATGAATAAAACAAAGACCAAGGAAATGTTTCAGAAAAGACAAAGAAAATGTGTATACTAATGTGGCACATTCTTACCGTGTTTTTTTGTTTGCCTTTACAAAAAATGACACACTCCAGACGTGGGTTTTTTGTTGTGTTTACGGATAGTTGCCTAGCGAATTCAGACAAAACTTTGGAATGTGAAGAAAAAAACATGATGGTTTGTGCTTGCAGTGTAAACGCGCCTTATATATCGTCCTTTTTTCTATTTGAACTCTGTGTTTACTCTTTTCATGCCAGGAGACATATGAAAAGTGAAGTAATTGCTTTATTAAATTGTGAATAATTTACAAACAAAGGCAGCGCACCAATATTAGCCAAAGCGATGGCACTCGAAAATATACAAATTTGATTTCTCATGGGAGGCGGAGGAAGGTGAATGACTGGTCCGGTCCAGTCAAGCGTTGTCTGTAAATTGCTTTGCTAATGAATAATTGAATTCACTGAAAAGTGATTATATTTTATTGAAATGATATCGGAGATACCTGCTCCTGGTAGTTATGGTGCTTAAGAGCCAGAAGGTTGTTAACTCTGTGTTTAAGGAGATGAGTTTAATGCCTTTCTGCCTCTAAGGGGGATGATGGCTTTGTTTTAATAGGAAAGATGAGGGTGAGGTTATCTGCTTGAGGTATAATTTGATTGACTTTGCTTCGAGTCGAGTGACATATTTTATTTATTTGGGTGGGACTGGGAGGGGAGAGGTGGGCTGAAGTGAGTAAAGAAAAATACAATCAGGGATAAGTAAGTTTAAGATTGATTCGATTATGACTATGACTAGAAAGAACTCCTTTAAGGGTTAATGAAATTCAATACAAAAAAGGGAGAAGATATCATAAGGTGAAAGGTTTATTCAAAGCACTTTGATAAAGAGCGCACACTATCTTGAAGATGCGCTTTTTTTCTATTAAAAAACTGAACAAATAAAAAAAGTTATGATCAAAAGGTTAAAATGCTGAGAATGAGTATTAATTATTAATATTGAAATAGTTTTGCCAGTTCTCTATAAAAAAAGATATTGGTACAAGTGTATGTAATTCAAAATTGAAGGCCATTTTTCTTCAAAACACCTCGTTTTGAATGAAATTAAATCTTTAAAAGGCGGGAAGGGGGGGGGGAGAGGACAAGTGGAAATAGGTTACATACTAGAGATGTAGGCATACTGCTAGTGAAATTGGAGATATGAAGTGTCCATCGTGTGTCAACCTCATTTTCAAAAAATTAAAGTTTTTAATTAAATCCAATTTTAAAAAGGCAGGGGAGGGGGGAGAGGACAAATGGAAAAAGTATACTAAAAATGTAAGCGTACTTCTAATGAAATTGTAGCTATGAAGTGTCAATTCATTGTGTGTTGACCTCTTTTTGTAATGTTTCAGTTTTTCTTTCTAACAGATTGTTTTTATAGTGTGTGCTAAATACAAGTATGGCAGATATATATATTCCACTTGCTTTTCCAGATACTTGAGTCCTTTGTGAAGTAAATCCTATTAGGTGTTGATAGTCAGGAATAATTTGATTTAATTTCTCTATGAATTAGATATAATGGATTGGTGGTTGAGGGTGAGAGCCAGCACAGTATGATATCTAGGGACTCTTTGAAGAATGCCCAGCAGACGACAAAAGATTATCAGAAGCAGAAAGATGTGTAAAATCTTTTCGCTCTTGGTTGACCTATATTGAATACACGTGCATTGTGTGCATGAACATGTTCCCATTAGGAGCCTATTGTGCTCGTTTGGAAAGCCCATTTATCACGCGAGGGGAAGTCGAGTGGAGCAATGAAATAGATTGATGTTCATTTCGTGCCAATTGTTGGTTGATGGTAGGCAGATAGTTTGTCTAATTCCAGGCTGCGGTTTGAATGATCGTCTCCCAATCCAATTAGCCTGATCGCCGTAGCAACCCGTCTGAGCTTGGGGAAATTAGCGCTGCCCCGTGGCGTGAGGCGGGCATCGTTTCAGGCTGATTTATCCTCCCCCACCTTCGAGGTGGATGCTCTCTCTTCCTTGCGCTTTCTCAGACAATGATCCTCTCGAGCGTGAGGGCGGCAGAGTGAGAGCGGCGCATCCCAAATCAAATCTCCCACCCCTCCTCCTCCTCCTCCTCCTCTTTCTATTCCAAGATGGAGGCAGTATAATTGGCTTAACACACTTGTTTAAATTGCCTCGACACTTCTCCTTCCCTCCGCACCAGCGTGAGCCCCGGAATCCTTTTGATGGCGTAATCTAAGCGTCTCCCCGAACACCTTTGTCTCGCGATCCCGGGCTCTGCGGCTGGTCCTCCCGTTAACACCCGGCAACCCCTTTCTCGCGGCATCCCAAGCGATGCAGGCCCGCATCCCTGGCGTGTTCCCTATTGATCTTGAATCAATCCATCAATAATGCGTGGCCTGGTGTGCGACTCACTCACGCAAACATGCCGGTGAAAAACAGTGGAAAGGAGTGGGGCTTCGGTGGAAATGAAAGGGAAATTTGGGGATGGGAATGTGTTGATAATTGATCGAGGTATGTTTTCACACTCCCTAGATCTTAGCTGCTGATTGGGTTATTGTCATATAATCTTCCCCAATCATGGATTCGTGGTTTGACTTGATTTTCCTGGTGAAGGAGCGAGAGAGAGAGAGAGAGGGGGGGGGGGGGGGGAAGGGGGATGTCTCTGTCCAAAAGTGCATTCACTGTGCATATGATACGGAATTAGAAAGATAAGATTTCCTTTATGCTGTATGAATCATATTCTACCTCTTATGTTTACTATGTACGCTTTTGATTGTGTAACTTCCCCCCAAATAGTTGGGTTTTTTTCTATTTAATATCTCCAAGTTATTATTTTGATTCTAATGTATAATGAGACTTTTTACTCTACCTGATATCTCTTTGTTAATGAATTTATATATTTGTTTAATTTCTAGGCATTTTACTTTGATATCACAATGTTATTATTTATAATTTGGAAAGGTAACATAGAATTGAAATACAAGATAAAAATCTTAAAAATTAAATAATAATAACACTCGGGGGATATAAGATAATGATAACTTACAACTCATATGCACCCTAACATTCTATTACTAAATTCAGAGTATTCAAGTTTTTTCATGTATATAAAATACAGCTAGTACGACCTTATGATGTTGATAAGTTTCAAATAAGAGCAATAAGAAGTAAACTACTAACTTCTTCATATTTTTCATTTTCCTTTTGTCATTTCAGAATTCCTTCTGGAGATGTCTCAATAATTCAGCCTCTGGTGAGTATTTTTCTCAAATTTGCATTTGATTTTTATTTGGGAAAATAAAGGTATTTGTGATTATCATTTAAGAGAAAACAAAAATATTTGTGGGGTAGTGTGGTGAATTGAACATATTGTCTCTTTGCACAATCTCTGGAAATACCTTCCATCTTCTCAAACATGTAGATAAAATATGTAATGTCATTCTCATCTTTTCTTCCCCTTTGCCAATTTATTGTCTTACTTTCTGCTAAAGCTGAGTAGCTAACGTAGGGGGGGGGGGGGGGGAGGAGGTCAAAGCACTCGCCTAAATTGAAAATGGGCACAAATTTCTGACAGAACTTTTTCCAGTGTGTTCCTAGAAAATTCCCCTTCATCTATCCTTCATAAAACAATTCAATGAGTGATGGATCCTTTTCACAGCGATATATCTCTCTATATGTTTAAAGTCCAAACTAACTCCAAACCAATCAAAAGCTTTGCCACTTTGGGTAAAATTATTTTAGTAAAGTCTGTACAGCTGTCAGTTCTGGCAGAAATGTTATCGGTATGACTGTGGTAACTTTGCTGTAAAACCAGAACGTTTGCAACATGAAATATCTGGAAATATCTGGAAATTTTGTAGGACAGCCAAAAAAATCATGAATTTCCAAAAATTAGTGTTGACTCGCCATAGATTTAATTATTTTGTGGCATTAAACATTGACTAAACTGAAACACTCCTGAAATTTGTGAATATGTCATGCATACAACCCCCCTTCTCCAATCTCCTTCGCAAGTCCTCTAGTTGCCTCCCCCCCCCCCCCCACCCCAATTCTAAGTGATGACAGGCATTCAAGTTGGCACTAGCCAGTAGCATTCGGCTATTAGCCTGCCCCCGAAAAATGGAGCCAAGTTTATTTTCCCAGAGCCTCGATTGGATTTGACCACCCCAAGTTCAGGCAAGGCTTTCCAATATTTACTTGATTTACAAATCCATGTGGTTGTTTTTTTCCAATGTGTGTTTATTGTTGAAACACAAATCTCAATCCTCCCCCGTCATTCCGAGACTGCTGAGGTGGAGGAAGAAATTGGGACGTCAAGAATTTTGTGACGTTTTTGAGGAAATACATGTTTAGTAAGGTAGATAGGTGAAGTTGGTGAAATATGTCGCGAATCCCCGGGATTTAGGGATAGTCTGTGAGCCTCAGAGTCCTGTCAAGTCCAAATATACAAATACAACATGCATGGGAGTGATGAAGGTTCATATCATCTTCTTAAAGGCAAGAAGGGCTTTAACTCTATGTAAAATGAAACAAATTATTGCCCTTCTGGCTCACAACTTATGCGATCTTCAGCTAGATCTGGGGAAAACATTGATGCCTAGAATAATCTCCAAGTTTGATCTCTGGATAAATTGATAATCGGTAATTATCCAATAACTGTAAGTCCAGCCATAGGTACAGATAAATCACCACAAATACCATGCATTTCTAGAATTAAACAGTTGGAAAACTTTCAATTGTTTGTTTTTTAATGATCAAGCCTTGACTACCTATAATAATTTGTTTTAAAGAACAGAAAAGACAAGAAAGAGAGCAAGGGAGCGAGAAAGAGAGAGAGAGAGAGAGAGAGAGAGAGAGAGAGAGAGAGAGAGAGAGAGAGAGAGAGGGGGAGAGAGATAAATACACTTTCTCTAGGTCAGTAGGCGTGAGTTTGAGTGACAGGAAAGGTGATTTTAATGACTGGTGTAAATGTCAGATTTGAAGATCCCACAAGGCTACATAAACTTCCTAAGGTTGTTAACATGAGGCTAGTTCACACTTCACACTATTTCAGAATTACACATTTTTGAAAACTCTCCAAGGGGTTATTCAATGGGTAAAATCCCTTCTTCTGGTCTCTGTCTCCATGATATTTCTCTTCCTTTATTCTCACAATCCCCTCTGTTGCATTTCTTAACTTTTTATCATCTCATCTTATGAATCTTTTTATGCCTCCGCCACCGAAGGTGGTGCCGGAGGCATCATGTTTTCGGGTTGTCCGTCCGTACGTCCGTCCGTCCGTCCGTCCGTCCGTCCGTCCGTCCGTACGTCCGTCCGTCCGTCCGTACGTCCGTCCGTACGTCCGTCCCGTTTGACCGTTATCACAATATCTCAAGAATCATTTAAGATTTAAACTTAAGACTCGGGAATAGTATTTATCACCATAGGAAGACGATCTGATTAGATTTTGGAGTACGTAGGTCAAAGGTCACAGGTCACAGAGGTCAACTTATGAAATTCCTTGTATTGAGTTTGTTAGCGCGATATCTCAAGAACCATTTGAGATTTAAACTTCAAACTTAAGGATAGTATGTATCACCATAGGAAGACGATCTGATTAGATTTTGGAGCACGTATGTCAAAGGTCAAGGGTCACAGAGGTCAACTTATGAAATTCCATACATTGAGATTGTTATCATGATATCTCAAGAACCACTGGAGATTTAAACTTCAAACTTAGTGATAGTGTGTATCACTATAGGAAAACAATCTGATTAGATTTTGGAGCACGTATGTCAAAGGTCAAGGGTCACAGAGGTCAACTTATGAAATTCCATACATTGAGATTGTTATCATGATATCTCAAGAACCACTGGAGATTTAAACTTCAAACTTAGTGATAGTGTGTATCACTATAGGAAAACAATCTGATTAGATTTTGGAGCACGTAGGTCAAAGGTCAAGGGTCACAGAGGTCAACTTATGAAATTCCATACATTGAGATTGTTATCATGATATCTCAAGAACCACTGGAGATGTAAAAACTTCAAACTTAATGATAGTGTGTATCACCATAGGAAGACAATCTGATTAGATTTTGGAGCACGTAGGTCAAAGGTCAAAGGCCACAGCGCACATTATGAATGCAAAAACAGCTTGTGATCGCGTTATCTCAAGAACCGATTGATGGATTCATGCCAAAATTAGGTCATGTTTGTTACTTGCAGAGCCAATGAACTGAGTAGATTCTTGGTTCATAAGGTCAAAGGTCAAAGGTCATGGGCCCATTATGTATGCAAAAATAGCTTGTGAACGCATTCTCATTAGAACTGACAGATGGATTACTATTTAACTCAGAACATCTTGCAGAGCCAATGAACTGAGTAGATTTTATGGTCATGAGGTCAAAGATCAAAGGGTCATATATGTATATGAGAAATTGCTTGTAATCACAATATTCTGAGAACCTGTCAATGGATTACCATTGAACGTGAATTCAATTTTTTTTTTCTGTTTTGGTTTGTAAAATTGCTCTATAACGGAGGCATCATTTTCGACTGCGCGCAGTCGAATTCCATCTAGTTTCACCCTGCCCCTCCCCCCCCCAAAAAAAAAAAGAGAAAAAAAAATAGATGAGAGAAGCAGAGACTTAAAGGCATTGTTTAGCAATGTTTCCATTTGTACAAATCTGCGATACATGGCCCTACTTGTTATCAGTGTCTGTGATATGGTGTAATATTGAAGCTGTTAGAAAATTGTGCTTCAAAATGATCATGAAGTGCTTCAAAAAAGTAAAGATCTTTTGAGTCACTGGTTTTACCATACTTATTTCCCCAATACAATAGACTGTAGTGTTATAAAAACTGTTCAAATTTTTTTTTTACATTTCTAATTCCAATCATAAATATCTTGATAATCAGACAGGCGATCGGCTTGTAAAAGGTCATGGGATCCTGACTGACCTAAAGGTTTGTAAATGTGATTGCAGCATGAGCTGAATCCAGGATTTTGTTTAGAATCTAAAGCAAAGATACCCATCCCCTTAACTACATTAGTCTGGCACACTTGACATTAGAATGTGACAGACGGAAGGCAGGTCCCCTCTGTCTCCCCTTCCATCTCAAGAGTTACACAAACATTTATTCAGGAAGGAAGATTTCCTTCGGTCATATAAGAAAGAAAACAGAAAAGAAAAAAAGTAGGTAGGCTAGATCCAACATTTGCACTGGCAATAACCTGCCAGAGGATTCAATAGACGCGCAAGATATAGGGCAGGTAGAGACATCAAGATCCGGACAGAAAGGGGGTACGTTTCGGCACAAAAGACGTTCAGAGTTTGCTTTTGAGTTTTTAGGGGTCATTGTCATTGTCACTCTCCCTTGTTTGTAGACTTGGTTCAATATTTAAACTAACTTTGTCAAGAGAATGTGAGGTTTGAATGTTTGGTGAGGCTATATAATACCTCCCAAAGGGACACACAAAAACACAAATGTATGTGCACCTGAAATCAATACTGATTGGGACATTAGCTTACGTGGATGATCCTGTGGTGGTATGATGTCATCGCTATAATAATCACAGAGCAAAATCATGTTTTTGTCAGTGGCATTAGTGGATCCTGCAACTCACATGAATAATCTTTTCATCCTTATATAGTGTACAGTTTTTTTTGTTATTCTTTATGGTACTTTGCAATTGAGAAAACAATCAGTGAATCATGATTACAGAAAAATTTACTATATAATGCAAGGAACATGAAAAACAGGTTCATAATCACGATTGCATTTGGAAAATTAATTTTGTGAAGTTAAATTTTTGTGGCATGGCATCAGCATCCGACCTGTAAGTCAGTGGAAAAAAATGTATTTCTACTCTGTATACGGAGTCTTTCGAAACTGAATCGTTTGTTTTACCTGAGTGCTACGAAAGCATGTGCTTGTAAGTAAGCAACCAGGGGACTGATGGCTCTAAGTCCTCTCCAAGGGACTCGATAATGAGGCTTTTAATGCCTTACCAAAGGGAACTAACGCATCAAATTGGTTTCAAACCTGGGACTATAGCTCCCTGTTACAAAACTCTGCTCTTCCACTGAGCCATTGCATCTCGAGATGAAACGGAAGAATGAACATAAACAGATAGCAGGCAGTTGGTCTAGTGGTCACTTGTTGAGTCTGCCTGTACAGGGTTCAATGTAGTAGGTCCATGGTTCAATTCTGAATCAATTCCTCTGGATGGTGACATTGAACATCGATCTGCAGATAGAACTTGATAGAT